ATCCCGCGCCGTGGGGGTGGGCTGCGTGGGGGTGGGGAGCCCCGGGGAGCTGATTATCCTTTTGGGGCTGCGCTGCAGCTGTGGAGGGAAGGAGATGGCTGAGGGAAAGCAGAAGGGAGACTTTACTGACTGGCCTCGGGCAGGGGAGAAGCGGGGGACCACAGTGTGCACCCTGGCACGCTGCCACAGGTCGTCATCCGGCTGGTGGGACTAGCACCAAAGGTGGCCTGGGAGGATTCGGGAGGAGCAGTGCACCGTGCAAGAAGAGGGTCAGGCAAGAGGCAGGACCTCACGGTTCAAGAGCTAAAACGTCCTCCTGGCCTTGGTGATGGGGTGGCACCCTGACAGGGAACAGACTTCCAGCCACGTGCCACCATGTACTGGCAGGGGTGGGGGTGGCAGCCTGAGATGGTGGCAGAGACTCTTTTTGTCCACGAGCCCACCTTTGTGCCCAGATGGAGAGCCCGACTGTTTCAGTCACAGCTTCATCTTGCAATCCCCTCCCAGTCAGTCACCGTCCTTGTCTCTGCCATCCCAGCCTGTGGCCGTTGTGTTTGGGTGCTGCCAGTGTTTCTCTGTTCCCTTCAGCGTGCTGGCAACCACTTGTTGTGTTTGGCCTTGTCCTGAGCCCAGGTGACGGCCCAGAAAACGCTGCTGACGCCAGTGCTGGGCGCGCGCAGAGTCTTGTCCCAGCTCACGCTCACGTTGGCTGCGGCCCCTTGCTGGTTCCTCGAGGTCCCAAGCCCCCACTCCTGCTGCCGGTTTGGGTTCAGCAAGTCGTGATTAAATATTCCTGCCATTGTTGTCAGTGTCTCCAAGGAATACCTCCGGATTTGGCAACCCCACTGCTCACACCCTCCTTCTTGCTCAGACATGACTTTTGCAATTGTTTGCTGGATGTTTTTCCTTCCGCCTCCTCCGGCCATCAGGAGCCTGAAAGACTTTGGCAGCAGAGCGAGGCGGGTCAGTGGTGGCCAGGCCGAGGTCTGCATGTCTGGGGAGCCCCCCCCCTGATGGCCCCCAGTAAGTCTCCATGTGGAGATGGGATTTTCTCCCCTGCCAGTTCCCCGCCAGGTCCCCAAGGCCGGGCGTGCACGGGCAGTGTTTGCCAGCTGACCTGGCACCTGGGGAGTGGGAGGCTCACGTCAGCTGCCAGGGAGGTTGTTGGCACAGAGGGCTGGCTGTGGGCAAGGGGGGTGCAGGCTGCGGTTCCTGTCTGCCTCCTGCTGCCTACCTCTCTGCCTCTGCCTTGCTGCCTTCTGCTGCTTGTTCCCCTCTGCCTGACACAGCATCCCCTGGCTCTGCCTCCACAGCTGTCCCCTGCCCACCTCCTGCAGCCACCCACAGCTCCCTGGCCTGCACCCTTCTGCCACCCATGCACCATCCCGTGCTGGGGGCCATGCTGGGGCAGCCCTTACAGGAGGGGGAGGTGTACCCCTGGAAGGTTTGAGTGCCCTGGGACCTTCCCGACTCTCCTCATCCATGGCCCTGCTGATGGGGGTCTCCCCGTGGTCCCCACCCCCAGCCAAGGGCATCCCCCACGTGCTGCGGCTCCCGCCTTGGGCAAACACTGCTATCACAGGGCAAACAGCCCGGCGGGCACCAGGAGCACAGCTGGGGGGGACACAGGGAGCTTGGCTGGGGGACAAAGGTTGAGGGAGAGGCGGGTGCCAGCATCCAGCGCCGTGGGCAGTGTTGGTCTCCCAGGAGAGTGGCCCTGCAATGGTGTTTTGGGGACAAGAGGATGGGGTGCATAGCGGGTCACCAAGGCCACCCCCAAGTCCCCAGGCCTCCACACAGGCAAGGGGGGCTGGGGTGGGGGGACCAGTAGCAGCCCTGAGGCTGGGGGAGGGCAGGCATGGCAGAGACAGGGGATGGCTGCCATGTGATCCCCCCAAACACCACGAGCCCCTCACCACGTGATCACCCCATGGTATGTGAAGCCCCCCATGCTGTGTGACCCCCACACACAACGTGGACCCCCACCATGCTGCAGGACCCTCCTCCATGTAACCCCCCACCATGGGTATGAATCCCCATCAGAGTGTGCGTGCACCCATCGCTCGATGTCACCCCCGTAATACTGTGTGACGCCCCAGACCCTGTGCCCCTCTTGTGCCATGCAACTCCCCCCATGCCCTGTGGCCCCCCCACGCCATGCAACCCCCCAAGCCATGTGACCCCACACACACCGTGTGCCCTCCAGCCTGCAGCTCCCCCCCTCTCAGGGCAGGCTCCCTCCCTCCTGCATCCATGGGGGAATCACACCCCAGTGAAGCAGGATCTGGGCATTGACCCCATCCCTGACCCCTCCCCAGGCTGCCACCCCTGCCACCACCCTGTCCCCACCTCACACCTCTCTCAGAGGCACTGGGGGTGTCCAAGGAGCCAGGGGTGGCCTAAGCCGAACCTGGTGCCACACGGCTGGGAGATGCCTCAGGACCTGGGGTGCCCTGGCATGTCTTCGCCCCTGCCATGCTGCAGGCTGCTGCCTTCTCCCCTCCTGCCTGCGCTAAAGCGGGGCAGGATGAGGCCAGCCCCATTGTGCAACTGCTGGTGCTGAAATGAAGGTGGTTGTGGGGCTGGAAGGAGCCCTGGGAGTCAGCTGTGGGGCAGGGGATGGGGACAGGCACAGGGGAGGTTTGGTTGTACTTTGGGGTGGTGGGGTTGATGGGGAGGGCTGCCCCCACTGCCTCCCCCAGGGCCATATCCACCAACTCCTCAACCTCAGCTCCCGGTCCATCCACTGTGGGGCAGGTACCAGCACCCCAGTGACTGGCACGTGCCCACCTGTGCTCCCCCAAAATGTGACTTCGGCTGTGGTGGCACCTGGCCCTATGCCGGGCTGCTCCTGGGGCTGAATCCTGCCTGGGGCCGGTGGGTTCCAGCACAACCTGCCTGTGCTGGCCAGGTGTTTATGTTGCCTGCTGCTGTGTTTGCATTGCACACAATCCATCTGTTTGTTTGCATGGAGCCAAGGGAGCCAAGCCTGGTGATGGTGGCGGCGGGCATGCCACAGGCAGGGCAAGCCCAGGGCGCTGCTCTCTGCTGGCAGCACCATGCTGGCTGTGCCATCTCCCCCTGCCTGGCAGGGTGATGTGGCTGTGCCCGCATCCTTCCTCCCCACACATGCTGCAACATCCGCTCACCCACCGCAGCCCATGCAGATGCCCTGTGCACACTGGGATGGCCGCAGCCCTGTTGCGCTCCTGGCCCTTGCCATCAGCCCCACCACTGGCAGCCCCCTCTTGCCCCATTTTGGATTTCCACAGCAGTGACACAGGCACCCTGACACAGGCACCAACGTTGCCACTGGCTATCCAGGGTTGACCTTGCTGTCCCCTCACCAAAGCCTTGCGGGGTGTGGGAGGGCTTGGGGATACACTGCTCACCCGAGAGCACCAGTGCAACTTTGTCTACACACGTCACTGGAGGGGGCAGAGGGGTCCCCTGGTCTCTGGCCCAGGTGGGTAGCAGGAGTTGGCCATGCTGAGAACTGCGGGGCTGGCCCCAGTGTTTTGAGATCATTGTTTTGGACTCGGCTCCCCTGTATTGGTTTGTGGCCAGTTTAAACTGGTTCCCAGCATTTATAAGGTATGGGATGAGTAGGATCCTGCGAGTGCCGGCAGCTCCGGAGGGGATTCCACGCCTCTGCCTCCCAGTGCTGGTGGCCATGGGAGCCCACATGCCCAGGGTGGCTGGCCCGGCTCTCCAGGAGGAAGACACCCACTCACAGCCCAGACCAGAGGGGAGCAATCCTGAGGCTCCCTACCAGGCTTTCAGCTGCAGCATCTTCCCCTCCAGCATGGCCCCAGTGGCCAAACGAGCCAGGATTGCCCTGCAGCAGGAAGAGTCGGGGGACACCACCTGCCCGCTGCTCTTCATTCAGCTCAACCAGCTCCTCAGCAGCCCAGCGGGGCTGGAGTGGAGAGAGATGGCCAGGTAGGCATGCCTGCAATGGCCAAGCTGTCTGGCGATGCTTTGGGAAGGCCAGCCTTCAAAAGCCCAACTCTGATGGAGCCCACGGTATCTCCCAAGGCTGGTGGTTCCTCAGCCTCAGCCCCAAAGCAGGGCTGCTCGCTGCCCTCTGCCCCCACCACTGCCTGCTTCTGGCAGCTTAGGGTGACTCATTTCATGGGAGAGAGTAGGGTGTCAGCAGGACACAGGCAGTGACCCTGCATGGGCACCACGGCCTTGCTTCTGCTCCTGCCTTTGCTGCCTCTCCAAGGCGCCAGTGGCTGCGCTGGGGCTGGGACAATGCTTTGACGCTCCCCAAATCTGGCTGCCTGGCACACCTCTGGCAGCGACCGGGGGGGGGATAGGTCAGGGCAGGCTTGTCTGGGGACAGTGGGGCCCAACGGAGAGGAGCCGGGGCTGGTGTGGGGCATAAGTGTAGCTGGGATGTCCCCATGCCCCACACCACCCCTCTGCAGCTCGGCAGGGGCACAGGGACATGGGCTACAGGGTTCCAGAGGCAGCGATGGGTCTGCCCCAGAGGTCAGAGGGGTCTAGGAGGGGCGGGCAAAGCCACTGGGCTGTGGCTGTGACCGCTCTCCCCAGCAGCCAGCCCTCTTCTCCCCGGCATGGCTGCCCATCAGCAGGACCCTGCTCTGCCGGGGCACGCTCTCCCCATGCAGCACACCAAGCCACCCCGCAGCAGCGCACCCACCCATGGGGACAAAGGGAAGCTCTGTTTGCGCCCGGCATTAAAATATTTGGCATTGTCTGAGCATGGCAAACAGCTCCAGACACTTCTGTTTGGAATCCAGCAAGTGCCACTAACAGCAGGGCAACCCCCAGTCCCAGCACAGGCTGGGGACGTGTGGGTTGGGAGCAGCCCTGCGGAGAAGGACTGGGGGATACTGGTCGGTGACAGATGGGACATGAGCTGGCACCGTGCACTTGCAGCCCAGAAAGCCAAGCGTCTCCTGGGCTGCATCACTGACAGTGTGGCCACCAGGTCGGGGAGGGGATGCTCCCTCTCTGCTCTGATCTGGGGAGACCCCCCTGGGCCACTGCCTCCAGCTCAGGGGTCCCCAGCACAAGACGGACACGGATCTGTGCAAGCGGGGCCAGAGGGGGCCGCCAAAATGGTCTGAGGGCTGGGACAGCTCTGCCAGGGAGGGAGGCTGAGATTTGGGGTTGTTCAGCCTGGAGATGAGAAGACTCCGGGGACACCTTGTAGCCCCTTTCAGTCCCTAAAGAGGCTACAGGAAGGATGGAGAGAGACTTTTTACCAGAGCCTGTAGTGACAGGACAAGGGGCAA